TAGCGTGTGTTATAAAAAGTTGTTAAGTTTAAAGTGACTGTGGAAATTCTGTGTATTACTAAAAGTGTGTGTCGAGAAAGAATAAACTGGTTTAATCAAGAAAAGACTTGTATCGCTGAAGTTCCTTGGAAAGAATTATACCAAAAACTAACAAACAAGCAGATATGCAACAATAGACTAATGGAGTTTGCAACCAATTAGAAACACAAACTCTATATATAATTACTAGGAAATATGTAAAATTTGAACCTTCTACCTTCTTAATTTGCTGAGATATCAATAGATTTGTCAAACTCACAAGAGAAACCCCTCCTCTCTCTCTCACTGTAATATTGCTTTGCTGATCAATTTTATATGGTTAATGTACATGTTTATAACCAAAGGAAGAGCAGATTCCCCTCTAAGTAAGGCTCATTATAGTTATTTGATTTTGGCATCTATAGAATAACAGTGTCATAGTTTCATTGTGTGCAACAATTCTATTGTTGTTCCAAATTTCCAAAAGAAATGTTTTAACCTACTTATGGCTTACTCAGAATGCTGGATAAGTTAGTTTTGAGATGTTCTCTTGTAGTGACATATGTAGTTTTGTGTTCTATTATGTGTATATGAAAGCTACATGATTTATTTTGGGGCAAATTTCTGAGACTCAACAATGCTTATGGAAGAATATCTGTTGGTATGCAGTGAGTACTACAAATCCTTGTTTTTTACCTGTTATTACATATTTTTTAACGAAAGTATCTAAAGTGTAAAAATTACAAACTTCTCATCTTATACTACAAAAGTTAAATAGAATGTCTAAAAATTGCACTGGTTGAAGCATGTGTAACATGATATCTCACAATCACATGGTGTTTACTTTAACCCTACAGGAAACGAGTTCCTGCTGTGACTTACTGAATTTCACATGGAGTAATGTGTCCAAAGTATAGCAGTAAGCCATTAAATTAGGCAAAAGTGATTAAGATGATTAGTTTTTATCTTTCTGGTCAATACTGAAGTCATTGCAGAGTTAGAAATGGTATTATTCATTTTATTTCATATTTTTAAACTTTTTCATTTCACTGCATGTTGATGATTTTGCTACAATTAGTGTTAGGGTAGAGAAAATAAAAGTACTTTAATAAAAAGTCTGGTTTTATGTGTACAACAAACTTGCAATTTTTATTAAAAGCTTTCTAAATTTCATGATGATTCACTTAGTGAATTCAGAATTATAGTAAAAATTATGTACAGCTACTGGGTCAGTCAGTTTGACCGAGCCCATGAAGCAATATATATATCTGATCATGTTGTAGAATAGAATGCCATATTGTTATAAAGGAAGTATTATTTGAATATTGTAGTTGTACGTATATATGTTTGTGATTAATTGATAATCACAGTAATGGCACAAGTGAAGATAGAGAGGAATTTGTGGAGTCCTACAGTTTAGAATGCTGGTATATATTAATCAGATAAGCTTGATAACTACACATAAAAATGTTCATGCATAAACCAAGTGAAAATAGCCCTAGTTGTTTTTGTGTTAAATAGAATGGACTACATGTTTTAAACTAGCAGAAAATGTAAAAAATTAAGGAAGGTTTTATTTTGAAAAATTATGTTAAAGAAACAGTATCATATTTTATTTCTGGTTAAACCTGCTAATTATCTTGTTAAACCCAAAGTAATAGTTACAATCCTGGCTACATCTTAAAAATATGGACAAAGTATTTTTACCAAGTTTCTTTTTGTGATGATGTTTATTATTATGGTGGTAAACACTAACAGCTTATATAAACTTTAATATTAGCAGTGGCTGAATTATTTAAAAAGAGTTTTAAAATAAGATTCAACCACTAATTATTTTTAAATTTGTAGTATTTTTCTTTCTAGCTTTAGTAAAGAGGCTATATCTGTACGCCTTGGTTGCACCTTACCGAAGCATGTCGTAATGAAATACAAATCTCCAAAGAACAATCAAGGACAGTGGAAGTTTATATGTATAGAAGGTAAGAATATAATTCAGTAATATTTAAGATATGAGATACTGAAATATTTCTTGGATGTGTTCTAGTTCAGTTTAATTTTAATTATAAAGCTATAAACACAGTATCCTGTTAATTTTTATCAAATATTTAGATGGCTCTCTGTTGACTTCCATTTTTTCCTGGTTTATTGTATGTTTCACTGAATTATTCCATTTTTCATTTAAGCTTGATGAATCAAGTAAGCTCTCACAGTAAGTATTGCACAGCAAGACAAAAGATAATTTGAGTAAAAATAAGATCTGCCCTGGTAACTTAATACAAGATAATAAAGGTTGTTTTAATATTATTTCAGCTAAACTCAGTTTTTTTCACACTTAGTCTTATAATTAGGTAACTACAACACAACTTTCATAAGTCCCAATCTTTATGAAATCAACCCTTTTTCCCCTTTCTATTATGCTGTTACACTTTCTACTTATACCTATATTGTAAAGCTGTTAAAGTGGTATGGACTTTAAAATTATGTTTCTACAAGTTTCTTGTATATTGTTTCAGTTTCAGATTGTAATACCAATTTTTCTGCCCCTGTAGAACCTTTTGACAAAACCAATACAGCAAGAGCAGTATATAATGAAGAAGCATTCAATAAAATTTTGATGGTGTTTAGAACTAGTCTTGAAGTACTTCAGGAAACAAAAGACCTGGCAAAACTTCTAGATCACTGAATTTTTTACCTGATTAATCCCATGCTCAAGGAAAGGACTACTGTCTACTAAACATTAAGAGGAATGAAGGTTTCCAGCCACACTGCATTCTACCAGAGAGTGCTAACTCACCAGCCAGTCTATTCGACCAAGTGAACCTGTTGAAATGATGTTTTGTGGCTGGCTTTATCTTACCCCTTGTATTCGTTATATATATATATGTATATATACATATATATATACACACACACGACACACTGCCATGCTGTACTTTTTATTTTTCCTACTGGTGCGGTGTATTTTCCTTGGTAGAAGGATGTGCATCTTCATGTATGAAAAACATTAAAACACCTGTGATAAATGTAAGCCATTATATAAATGTAATCATGAAGTGTCAGTTGTGGGCCCACCAGATGTAACTAACTATGTTTATGTCAGAAATCTCTCCAACAACAAAATAAAATAGCATTTCTAGAAAGCATTGTTGCACCTTTGGCATTACATTTTCATTAAACAACTTTAAGTGTGTGTTCGTTTCACAGTAAAATAATTTTATAAAAACCAGTTAAAAAATTCTGACATTCATGTGTGATATTTAACAATACAGAAGTTTTTCCTGTAAGTCACATATAAAAACTAAACATTCAGGTATATGATGTTTTATTTTAACTGTATATTTTATGTTTTATTGATGTCTTATATATATATATATATATATATTAAGGAAATAAAGGGCTTGTTCAAGGAACCTTTGGGAATATGTTGATCCAAAAACAATTTTTTGAATCTTTGCTTCTAATAACCAAATTATTTCACCATAACTGAAAAGGTAAGTTTTCAATAGTTACATATATTCATTAGAAAATTTTATAAATTGCAACATATTTAAAAAGCCCATAAATGATAGAAATTCTACATTAGTGTTTTGTGGAAGCAACTATGAATGTAATACAATGCTTATCCACAAAATAGATTTTTTCAGTCCTACAAAAATATTTTATTCTTAGATTTAAAACAATGTGTTTGTGAATGTAAATTATTAAATTAATTTAACCAGAATTCACTCCACTTTTAATAAAATACTATTATAGGCGTGAACATTATGAATTACAGTACTTGTATTTCTGCAAATTAATTTCATAGACGACAAAATTATAAAACTGAATTTATTAGTTGCAGAAAATATGAATTCTGTATGAAGAAAATAGAAATTATTGGAGAAAATGGCCTTCAAAGATTTAATATACTGAAAATGAACAATACATGTACATGTATTTTTGTACTAAAATACCTTTTAATTATACCTTAAGGATAAACTCCATTATTCCTGTTTTAGTAAGTGCTTGGAGGTAAAACACTTGACCAATATTAATGGTTTCTTTAAAAGTGTTTTGTATCCTGGTATATGTTTTGCCATTTGAAACCCTCAGAAAATAATGGCTTTATCAAACAGGCAGTAAAACTGCCGATGTAGGGATGGCTCAGATTGTTCATTGAAATGATATTTTAAATATCTCCTTAATAGGTCAACAAGAATTTTACAATACTACATAGTGTTTCCTTTTATAACACAAGTTTTTATCACAAGTTCTGGGAATGTCTGTAAATATCATAGCAAAAAGTTTGAATTTCTTGTACTTTTTTTCTTCCATTTCTTTTTTTATTACATAACTTAAAAAACAAAACAATGGTATCAACCAATTTCACTAAAGTGACATAGTTTCAAACAGAGTATCAAAAATCATAATTCTAATGTAAACGATGCTATCATTACCCCTTGAAGGTAGCTTTCTTACAGAAATTTGTATTCCTTTGAAAAGCTTAAGTACATGGTGAAACTGGAATTACCAGCCAATAATAGATAAACAATAAATATTACAGTTATAATCTCAATGTATTTAGAACCTGGTTATAAATATAACCTTCCTATGTCTATTGAAACACTGCATTAAAAAATAACAAGCAAGTAAAGAAAAAAATTTCAAAAAAGGGAA